AAACTGTAAATTATAAATTTTAAATTGTTATTGATCCCTTTACCCCGAGTCCTAAAGTGTATATTTATTTTACTCTTCTTATATTTATTGTTTGTTTACTTAACTGGAGCCTCGTCCTCTCGTCTCTCTATACTGGACTGTATGTAGCGGAGATGACAAAGTTTTACTTTGACTTCAGCAGCGAGCAGGCGCACCGAGGGCTCTCGCGCTCACTTTTCGCTTATAGAATTTGAAAAAACATCGGTGCAAATTATAAGTCTGTATCATGATGTCTGGTGTTTTCGTGTTTGTTGGTTTGTTTTTATTTTGTGAGTTGGTTATTAGATGCCGCTCAAGCCACCCAGAGAATCCCCCGCCGCTCCGCCCTCTCCTCCCTGTGCCGCAAGCAGCAGGCACCTCGCAAACGGAGGGCGCCCTTACTCCCAGCAAATGGGCGATAGAAAACCGAGAAAAGAGCCTGCTAGCGTTTCTTCTTCCTCAGACAACTCAGACTTCCACCTACCTCAGAGGTTGCTCAAGAACTTCTACTCATGCACCATCCAGAGCATCCTGATGGGAAATATCTGCACCTAGTATTGGAACAGCACCAAGGAGGAAAGACGAGCTTTCCAAATAGTGGTGCACTTTGCCAAATGCATCATTCGACAAATGGAAGTTAAAGAAATGCTGCTGGTTAAAACCTAGTGCAGCTAATGGCTAAAGTATTAAGTCTCTGGGAACATGTGACCAGCAATATTCTGTAGACCTTGCTGAATCACGTATAAATAGTGTAACATATCCTGTCACGTATCTTGTCATTACAGGCCAGCCCACACCAGGTGCTCTCTGTATTGCTCACTCCCAAGACCTGACTCCAGGACGTGCAGGAGAAATGACATCTCTGAGCTGGCCTAGGAATGCCTCAGTGGAAAGAAAAAGGTCTGGGCGTCTTTGCCTCGGCTACTGCCTCTGTTATCAAGCCACGGATAAGCAGAACAGAATTGGTGGTTGGACCTTTGGTTCTGTTAA